ATATATATATGGTGGCATTTTTAATTTATATTACAATGAATCATTCATGCGAAATTTAAAATTAGTAAAATTAATGATATAAAATGACAAAATCCCTTCGCTAAGAAGTCCAGAATAAATTGGTAAAAAAGTAGACAAAAGAGGTGCAAGAAATGGAAAAATGTTTTTTTAAATTTTCAACTAAATAAAACATTGGTTTTTGGTACCTTCGGCAACAAAGGCCTCTGATCAGGTGATTGGAGGTTTTGAAAAAAAGAACCACCTCTTCATTTTTTATTTGTTAGCAGATTTGTTTTTTCGAGCTATGGTCAAAAAGTGAAGGGAAACAAAACACTATGAATGTATAAAAATACATATTTATAGTGAAATGACCAAAAATACGTATTATTTTTAGTTGAATGCATGCAATTAAAAGACATTTAGATTTCGGCATTCGATATATAGAAGTTGATATGCTGCTAAACAAAATCAACCGACTTGAACGAACTCTTTCATGACATTAATCCATATAATATCCTACCATTTCTTCAAACTGTATTCAAAATATAATTCATCAAAATATACATTCAAAAAAAACACAAATAATACCGCCTCTAGTAAGTAATTATGTCCGCACAAACATGTGTCTGATTGAAATTTCTGGTATCATCTACCATGTATTCAATTTTGAAAGCAGAATAATATATATCATATTTTTAAACTTTAAAGCCCCAAGAAAATGAAATTTTGGCAAATGACCCATAATTCAGTTGATTTAAAAACTAGTTTTGTCAAAAATCAACCATCATGAATTTACGCTTTTATGTCATTAATATAACAATATATTAATGTTGAAATCAAACTGTATTTCAAAATATAACTTAAAAAAAAAAAATTTTGCATAAAAATGAACACAAAAAATATAATCTAGTAATTATTATACACAAATATACATGCCCAAAGCGGGTATCATATATATTTGTATTCAATTGTGAAAACAGAATAAATATATATCATATTTTATTAACTTACAAAGCTCCCAGTAAAATTAAATTTTTGGCATTAAATGACCCATAAAGTTATTGATATACCATTAAACAAACAAACGTGATCAAGATTGACCAAGATAGAAGATTTGTATCATGAAGAAGAAGAAATAAATAAATAAATATATATAAATGGTGGTGTCATATGCTATCAACCTGGGTAAGTAGATTAGCCGTTTGCCTTAGTGATCCTGTTTTATCGTTCTGTGATAAAAAAAAATATCTCTATTGATTCATACATACAGGTATTTATTAAACTTTGCTTTTGTTCATCAAACACCAAATAAAAACAAAGAGGAGTTGGAAGATTATAATACGGCAATGAAAATGATTTGAATATTCCTTGCCACATTTGGTATAATGCAACTTCCTGCTATATTTTTAGAGATGAAATTTAAAACCTAAAGAAATATCTGCAATATTATTTTTCCTGATCTGGCGGTATTTATATTAGTTTTGTTTTTGGATTAGAATAAAAAAATATATATTATTCCCGTGCCTTTCTATATTCTCTGGTGTAAAGGTGTTTTGTTTTATAGCGTGATCAACAATTTGAAAAATGGACATAATAAGCCCTCGGCCACGATGACTTGTTACTGTAATTTCTGGGCAAAAATTTACTACCCCAAGGGTTCCGTCTATCTAATTTAATTCATAACTTTTAAACCCGTGGCAATTTCTCATCAAATAAGTTGAAAAAATTTCGATGTAACCGTAAGTTCTATGTAACTATAGTTTCTTCTATGGAGTTCTCACCATGGAACTTATTCCATGTGGGTTCTGATTGATCTTCAATCGTTATCGAATCCTCTTTATTGTTCTCCTTTTAACTTGTTTTTTCTTTTCTCTTATTCTTTCACATTCGGTAACCCCTTGTGTCTTTACGATTTTCGTGATCTGTCGTGCTTAACACTAAAAAATATTATTATTATTTCTGATCGCAGTGTATATAGTCAACGCTACCAAAGACTTAAATTATCCTTAATAAACATGCATACACATACATACAGACACATTATACATAATGAACAAATCAGATATAAAATAACATAAAATAAATATATATATATATATATATATATATATATATATATATATATTTATTCGAGGATATCCGTCTATTAGGTCATCCAAATACCCAATCCCTATTGAAGACCCTCGCTTTTTGATATTTGTTCATCAAATCGCAGAGCCAATCTGAGGTTTATTACTGGAACTAAATGACATGAAAAGACAGAAGTTACTGGGAATTTAAAAGAAGAATTTAGGTTTGAATACTCGCTAAATTTTTTTTTAAAGAATCAACAATATTATTTTTGCTTATCAGATTGTCTTTGCTTCAATCACTTTCCCACGGCCGAAATATAGCTTCCTTTTGCCTTTTAAATAATGTATTGATGGAAGAGGAATGAATTTTCAACGGATCTTCAATTTGAACCAGGCCACGCTCAAGATCTCGGCCAATTTATTTATCTTTTAGTTTATGCAGGAAAAAATTATGGTTTTCAGGCACTTTCAAAGGTATATCGCTATGGGATCGCCTTCTGGAAAGAATCCGATAACAATTCAGGACGTAAAAATTCTGAAAAAAAATTTACCCTGGTGAGAGAATATATTTATCTTATAGTCATAAATCAGAAAGTATCTAACCACTTATTTTTAAAACACATACATATATATACACACACACACATACATATTATTTAAACCCTATGCGCAAATCAATAGGAATATTTTATTTAATTTCATATCTTTCACCATACGGTAAGTTTTATAACCCACTTCATCCAGGAACCCTCTACCTCCATGGATATATTTATTCTTACTGGTTGAACAGTTAGTAGAAAAATATCTAATATGCCAATGGTTGTAATGAAGAACTGATCTGCAAATGATGAAAGAAACGGATTCAAGTTTGCCCGGATGATGAACATTTTGCAAAGGTTTAAGATTGTGTATCAGGCAAATGCATTGCCAACGAGTTTATGACAGAAATATATTGAAAATTAAAAGCAAAAAAAAACCGTCGTTGTAAAAGATAACAAATACATATGACAGAATATATATTAGTCAAAGACAATGGTTAAATTTTTCGATATATTTGATATGACTCTTATATATATCTATATATATATATCTATCTATCTATCTATCTACACCGTTGTGCAAATTAATTGAAATAACAGCTTTAGTTTCCTTTTTTTGCGCCATACGGTCAGTTTTAGACCCATTTGAGTGACACGGTGTAATCGATTTTTTTTGTTCCTCGGATTAGGCCATTTGCAGTAGTGTGTAGTAATATGAATCTATTTTCGGGGTGTATGATGACCTTGTTTGGCCTTGAAAAATATTACGTCATTCATGATTACGTCAGATTTTTATCACGCCAAGACACTATTGTGTCAACTGTCGATTAGTTGTCCCACAGCCATTTTCTGCGATGGACGTTACTCCAAGAAAGCGTACGACAATTGTAACGCTGCACGAAAACACTGGTAAGCCTTACCAGTGAGCAAATCAAAGATTGTCCCGGAAACTCTCGTGATTTAAATCCAATCAAGAATCTATGGTCAATCTGCAAGGAACGGCTTGGTGGAATGGATATACGAAGTAATAACATGGAAAAATACGAAAAAAATGTAAATAGTAACGGAATTATTCGTTTTGTTTCAATTAATTTGCACAAGGGTGTACATACATAAATAATAATAGCTACCAATCGTATTCGAGGATACCCGTCTACTATGGCGGCTAGCCAATCCCTATTGCAGACGATTGCTCAGGCGCATTTGTGTTTGCTCAACACCCACAGAGCCCACCTGTGGTTTATACAGCAACTATGCTGAGCAGACCTTAGTTACAGTTTCTGGGAGAGAGCGCGTTTCCTAGTGATCAATAATTTGAACAAGGCCACGCTCAAGCCCTCGGCCACGATGAGTTGCGGCTTTGTGCAAGCATAGGTATCGACGGCCGTCAAGAGTTTCCAGTTAGACTCACAAGGATATGTGTCAACCCGTGGTATGGTTTTCACTTTCAGGCACTTTCCAAAAGAGCCGTACGCTGGGATCGACCTCCTGACAAATCGACCATGGTGAGATTCGAACCCCGGTCGCAAAGTCAGAAAACGAACTTTCTAACCACACACGCACATACATACATACCTCTCTTTCCTATGCATCTTTTCTCTCTTTCTCTTTTCTGTATATATTCTTTTTCTCTCTCTTTTCTGCATATCTTCTTTTTCTCTCTCTTTCTCTTTCTTTTGTTTGCTTTGAGTTCATTTCATCTCCATCAATCACGAAAATTTCTCTGCCCGACCAACAAGCTCTCCCCACCCCACCATTCCAAAATCTGATGTTTGTTTATTATTAGGTCAAAGTTTGGAAAGTGGGTCGAGTCGTGAACTTTTCTGTATTCCACCAGACATGATGTACGTACAAACCCGAATTCCTTTGGTTTCAATCACCCTCCCCACCAACTCACACTTAAAATGAAAAAAAAATCAGCGTGCATGTGTAAAAAGCCTCATCAAAAGCGAACCTGCGTTTCAGTGGACTCAGACATTCACAGCTAAATACGAAAAAAAGAAAAAGATAAGTGGCTAACATCTCTGTCTGATAGTTAACATGAGATAAATAAGTAAAAAGATTATTTCCAAATTCCATTATTTACGTCATTAAACAACAACAACTACAAAAAAAAAAAAAAAAAAAAAGAAAGAAAAAGGGGGTAAGAATTTCTGTAAATGTTGAGTAATCTACATTTATTACCGAGGAAGAATAAAAGTCCTGGTCGCCAATTTTCATTCCTTAGAGGATTATTTTGATTTGTCTCGTCTAGTTTTTAGCCGAAAAAGAAAAAAAAAAGTCGTACTTGAAATTAAAAAATTAAAAACTAGTTTCTTCAAGTAACGCAAAGTCTAAGAAGGATACAAAGGCGAAAATAAAATAAAAGATAAGAATAAACTGACATAAT